ATGTAAAACATGCCACTGTTGCTGGATCGTGAAAAGTAACAGCAAAATATTACATGCAATTAAGACCCTAAATGAATCCAAGAAAGCCTCTTCCATTATGTCTTGGGACTTCTCCACATTATATACAAAAATTCCTTTGGATATTTTGTTTGACAACATTCTTGAACTATTTGAAAACTATGCCGGAACAGGATTTACCTTCAAATACGCTTTCGTGAGTAAATCATATTTTTCTGCTCTCCTGAAAGGCTGTTTAGAAAACAGCTACATCCAATTAGGTACTAAAGTCTTTAGACAGCAAATTGGAATTCCGATGGGCAGCAACTATTACACTAATATGGCAAATCTCTTCCTTTTTTATCATGAATCAAAACATATGAATGAAATCCCCAATCCGGAAGCATACACATTCACATTCCGCTATATCGACGATCTAGTAGCTATTAACAATGCTTCTATTCAGGCAGAAATTGGGCACATTTATCCAGATTGCCTAGAATTAGAGGAAACAGTTTCGCCTCCATACAAGATCGCTCATTACTTAGATATGAATGTGATAATCGATGACATCTGTAATTGCTTTGTCACTGATATTTATGATAAAAGAAGGGATTTTGACTTTGAATTTCTTAGCCTACCAAATGCTAAAAGTAACATCCCAGGGCAAGAATGTTGTTAATTCTCAGCTGAAAAGATTCGCTTTAATCTGTTCCAATGTGGCTGGATTTCATTATAACTGTGATTTCTTGTACCAAAGGCTACTTGGCAATGGGTATCAAGAGAATTTTCTACAGAAACTTTTTAACCTGTTTGCTCAGCAATGCAAGCATGACCTAATTAAATTTGCTCCCGAAGGGGGCGATTTTTCTGCAATTTGGCTGTGAGCTATTTCCTTCAGGCTCCAGAAACTTTGTATACAGCTCGGATGTGCGGCTCTTGCAGCACGGACGTGACTGCAACACAGACCCGGTGCATTAGAACAGGTTCCAGTGATTGGGCTTTTCCCATACCGTTTTTATATTTTATCCTAGACACCACTTATCCAGTTAGTCGGGGTTGGGTTGGGTGTTATTGGCCTAATGTGCCTCGAGGTCAGGGCTTGAAGGTAGCAGGAGCAATCTGGGCATTGTTCCAAGCTGTCAGTGCAGGACACAGTTAGCTGAATGCATGGTAGGGCCTTTCCCAGGCTACACTTTTCTTTTGATAGGCTTGTTTTAAGCCTAGCCCTCCCCCCTTTTTTCGCTTTTCCTTCATAGGCTTGAGCTCTCCCAAGCCATGCTCTCGCTTCATTCCGTTCTAGGCTTGTGTCTACCATGCATTTCAGCTGTGAGGCTGGTCGAGCTAATCGATTGTTTAATTGTGGCACTGGCAGATGGACTTAAGCCGGGATTGTATCTGGGGCATTAAGTACTACCTCTACTATTTACCTCTACAGCCGTAGCACCTGACGGCAGAAACTCTCTGGATAGGGTTTGTAAGTCAGACTTGTGGCCTCAACCCCCTGACGACGCAGGCTGCCTGACAAATTTCTTGGACAGGATTCTTCGCTGTCCCTTCTCTTTTTAACTTCCTTTAGCCTTGCCCCATACCTGCAGGCTGTCTTTAATAACTTGGACTCTCATCTCTAAGTCCCACGCTTCTGGGTCCAAAGGTTGGACATTTTCCGTTGCCCTTGGGTAGTTTCGAACAATTTCGGCACTAAATAACTTCTCTTACTCTATATATATATATACAGGGTGGGGCATAAATATCTCCCACATTTTGAAGGGGTATAAAAAATGAACGAAGCTATCTAGAAAAAAAAGCATATATTTCTGGAAAGTACATAAAAAACAGTTTCGTTTTAATGAGTTTTAAAAATCATATCAGGCAAATGGCGGCCGTCGTTGGAAATACATTGCTGAAGACGTTCCCCGGAAGTTCTCCATCACTCTCTGGTTTATCTCAGGCGGAATGGCGTTGATTTCCTGTCTGATCCTTTCCTTCAAATCCTCAAGAGATCGAGGACGATGTTTGAAAACCCCTTTCATTTAGGTATCCCCAAAGGAAAAAGTCACATGGGCTTAAATCTGGTGACCGTGCCGGCCACCCCACGTCTCCCCTTAAAGAGATTAAACGCCCAGGGAACATTTCCCTCAACACTCCGAGCGAACGTCGTGCTGTGTGAGCTGTGGCCCCATCCTGTTGAAACCACACATGTTCTGTATCCACATCGTCCAGTTTGGGGCGCAGAAAGGTCTCCAACATTTCAACGTACCGGTCGGAGGTCACAGTTACTGTTGCACCACCTTCCTCAAAAAAGTACGGGCCGATCACACCAAAGTCGGCAACTGCACACCAAACAGTTACGCGAGGAGAGTGGAGCGGTCGTTCGTGGAGTTCACGAGGGTTATGTTCAGCCCAGTAGCGAAAATTCTGCTTGTTTACGGCTCCACTGATATGGAAGTGAGCCTCATCGCTACTCAGAAGAACAGCTGCAGCGGGAACTTGTTCAAGAAAAAGGCGTGAATCCCGAGACGCCAACCGTACTAGAGAGAGTGAATTAAGAACTCGGTTGTAGTAAAACATTCCTACGTCAAAATTTAGCCGTACGTCTTAGGAGGAGTTTGAGGCTGAACTATAGGGCAGTGCCACGGCATGCTTACGAGCGGATCGCCTTGGCGATTGCTGAATGGATGCTCTTACTGCTTCCACATTTTCTGGCGTTCTAACGGTCCTAGGTCTGCCAGGTGATTTTCTTTTCAGTGTGGATCCAGTTGCCCGAAGGTTAGAAATCCATAGCAAAATCGTTTTCCGATCTGGTACAGATGCATTTCGACCGAGCGCGAAACGTGTACGGAACGCTCTCTGCGTTGCTATCACAGAACGGTTGTTCTCATAATAAGCTTGAACAACAAAGCCCCGATGTTCACTGGTCCAACTCATGATGGGTACTGAAAACAGTAGAGCCTAACCTACCGAATAAGACTTAGCCCACCTCTCTACCCCCACTACAGCCCGCACAGTGCCCCCTCGAAATGTGGGAGATCTTTATGCCCCACCCTGTATGTTTATTAGTGCTTCTTGATTTGCATTGGACTTCTGCAACTTGTCTCTGATTTCTTGAAATTTAATTTTTGCATAGATACCACTGCCCCTCTCATCAATGAAGGAGCAAAGTGGACCAGAGATGTCAAGACCCTTGCAATCCTCCCCCATCGACACAAGACCAGTTTACATGATTGACACCAGATGTGAGCTGTCATCTAGCACACCTTCATCAGCACCATTGCCACCAAATTCCTCTTTCCCATCCTCCACCAGCCCTGATAAAATATCTTCTCCTCTTCCTCCATCCTCGGTTCCTTGCACTACTACCATGGACCAAAATTATCAACAGGTTAGTCCTTGGCTTTTTTTTTTGTATATGCCCAGGATTCTCTCAAGATGCAAAACAGACTAACAAGATTGAAGCATACAAGGTTTCTATGTAGGGATGGGGCACATTGATGAGTTCCACCTGGTGAGAGGAATCAAAATGTTGGAAAACAGTAAAAGCTTGTTTGCCTGATGTTCAATTTACTAATCATTCTAAAAGAATGCTGTGAATCTATCATCCATCAGTCCCTGTTTGTTGGGATATTTATTCACCAACCATCAGTCTTTCAGTTGCAAACATACATGTTTGGGAAGAAGAGTGTTTTCTCAAGATACGTGAGGTGTGATAATCTTATGGCTGAAGTTTGTGATCCAGCTGCCCTATGTGCATTATCCCAACCAATCAAGTCTTCTTGTTTGGTGTGCTAATACCCAGTAACTTCAGTCACTCTCATGTGGAACTTCAAGCATATTTGAAATTAATCAAGTACTCAGACTTAACATAGCTCTTCCATAAGGGGGAAATCATGACCATAATTTTTATAAGGAAAGAAGTAAGTTCACTCAATAGCTTGTTCTGCAGTTTTTGGGTCTTGAGTGCTGTAGAATTGTTACACAGATTGTTCTATTTAGTAATCATTCCAATTGTTTCTTTGGCGTTTAGGTAGTAATCATTCCAATTGTTTCTTTGGCGTTCAGGTATTGTGTGAGATTGAAGATGCAGAGAGTTTCCTCATTGAAAGTAATGACTTGAGGAAATGGGGATAGATTGGGAAAGACAATCTATTAGATGTGGTGCCATGGTGCCTTTTAGTGCCAAAGGCCAATTTTTGGCCATGGCTTTTCATTAGGTTTCTTTCTTCATGTAGTTGGGGTTCTTGTTGCTAGATGTCATAAAAATTTGCCCACAGCATATTTGGAAGTAGTAATGCCATGCAGCTAATTTTTTATGGCCACATGGCACTAAAAGGGTTAAATCACTGCAATTGTCTAAGAATAGTAATTGATTGTAATTTTGGTTGATATTTGATACAGGAATCAATTATTGTTTGAATGAATGGGCAAAATGAAACATGGAAGACCAATTGTATTCACTTGGCAATGCAAGTATCATAATAATGTCAAATGGAAATGTATTTTTTATATGCTTGCAGGATTCCCAGTAAAGAATGTTGAGTTCTGGATTTCAAAGTACATAAGTGATTTTTCAGCTGCTGACATTCCTTAGTATCCTTATGATAGACACTAGGGCATTGCAGTATGTGATAAATTTCTCAGTAGGTATTCTGTAGCTCAATACCACGGTATACTGGTGATAGCAGTGAGGAATGATGGGAGGTGGTTCAGTTGCAAACTCCCAGGAAAAAAAAAACCTGTGAGAGAGCAAGTCTTCCTGTTTTGATGGTGTCAAGCTAGTCACACATCTGGATTGGCCCATATGAATAAAAGTGAGCTAGAGCTTGAGCTCAACTGAATTGGAGGCACAGCTCCATTTGTGATTAATAAAGTGCATGGAACTTGATCTCCATGAGCTGCCACTCCTTTCTAGGAAATTAGCTCCCTCCTTTATAGAATTTGGCATTTTGTAGGAATGAAAATGAGCTTTGTCTCAATCCTTGAGCTAAAGGAGTCTGCCAAGGGGTAGACTCAGCTAAAAAAAAGTCTCCTTGTGGTCAATGATGACATGGTAATGCTCAGGTGCAGATTTCGTTCAGTAGATCCATAATTGCATCAATAACTCAAAATGTAAAAGAAATTTGTGAAGTTTTCCAATTCTACTATATAAAAATTTCTGTCTAAAAATATGTAAATCTTGACTTCTTAAAATGCTTTGGAAATGATTACTGCCTTTTCTAGGAAATGCTTATGTTATTATAGTTTTCGTTTACCCTCCTCTAGGAATATTACAGCTAAGGGTCCTACATTCAAAATGTAACCCTTATATGAATAAATTTTTCCTCATCCATTTGGGGAACACCTGTTTCCAATAATCCCTGGAAATTTTCAATCTTACAGTCATGAAAAGGGTACTTCATGAGTTTTAAAAGGCACATCTGAGGAGTTAATTGTAATAGGAATATCCTGGCAATTTGGAACTTTTCGTATTAGGATCTTATAAAGAAAACCAATATGTTGCATTTTTTACCCAAATCATAGAGTCTGACTTGCCCCTGAAATCCACCAGGTATATTCTGCTTGTAAACTGGGAATCTGAGCTTTGATTCCCAAAGTGAAAGCCTATTCATGTTAATTTCCCTGCCAGATACTGGGAAAATGAAGAATATGATAGCTTCTTCTCACTCTTGGTTGGAGAACTTGCTATTATATTCTGCAGGCCTTTCCTATGCCCAGAACATCCAAATTTTCAAGGCACTGGCAACAAATACCATAAGTACTTTATAATGAGTTATTCTCTAAAGCAAATTTGGTAACAGCTTTCCTGATCTCTCTTGAGAAAAGTGAGAAAGAAAGAAAGGAATGAGAACAAGTCAAGATCTGTTTGAAGGACCATTTTCATATCTGCAACCTTAGAGCTGGAGCTCCAAAATGTGAAGCTCCAGCTCTGAGCTATGGCTCAAGTTTTACACATATGGGCCCTTATGCCATTTGATTGAAAGGAAGGGAATTCATTAATTTCAACCCAAATGGATGGATTTGGTAGGTGTGCCCATGAATGATACCATGATTGAAGTTGCTAGAAGGACCCAAATTATAGATCTCTGAAAAAGAAGCTTCAAGGAAGAGGAACCATCTTATCATTGTGCATTGTATTTTTATATTGGTATCAAGTGTTCAACCTTATTGAGCAGAGGGCACAGTCAAGGCATAGGTGTGCCCACAAATGACAGATCTTGATCCTTGATTCAGGACACTCTGGCAACTACCGGGAGGGCTTCAGTTTTCCCCAGGTAGTGGGCATCACCACAGATAGAGATGGGAAGCATAGTTAAAGTATTTTATTTTTGGTACCTACTGTCCTACAGTTTCCATACCATGGTGAAGGTATGAACATGAGCAGTTTTCCTGTTTTCGTGCCATGGTGGTAATATATAAAAATGTAGAAGGGGTCAGTATTGCAAGAACCAAATACAACAGTATGATGAAAATACCAGTATACTGCCATGTATAGGCACAGTTCTCTTTTATTCTTCAAGAAACAGGATGAGTAAGTTCAGTCAGTTTCTCACTCAAAGACTGGCATTTTTCCTCTACAAACTGACAGGGTTTTAGGAAATGCAGTATTCTGAGCATTGAATATTAGGCTGCATTAAAATTCTGCATTGTTTGGCTTGGAAAAATTATATGGATATTCACTGGTTCCAATGTGAGCTAAAAAGTATAATTGAGGAGTTCTCTGGAAAAAGGGCGTGTCTGTACGGATGTATGGGCACATACACCTTTTTTCCAGAGAACTCCTCAATTATGGACAAGAAAGACATGAATTAACCTGGATGTTTTTTTCTTACAGCCGCAAGCCCTTCACATACGTCTGCCCTTGCCAGAAGGGTACTTGTCCAGCCGGTCTGCATCTGTTCAGGGGGACCGGCAATATAGTTCTTATTCAAATGGCAGTATGCACACTTCCACAACTGTTCCCAAAAGCCCCCATTTCTACTATCCACAACAGCAAATTGGCACCCCTACAGAAAGACTAAGCAGCAACAACATGGATTTCTCACTTGAGGAAGAGTACATGAATGTTGCCAACACAAAGGGCAAGAAGAAATTACTTCCAGCATAATTCACTGTGTAATTAACATCACTTTGCTGTTTATGTCAATTTTTGGGTTGTACTCAGGAAGAAGCTGCATTCTTTGCAGTTCTTGTTTCAGCAAGTTTTAAATGAACTTTATAAATATTATACTTAAGGTATAATATGCAGGTATAACACATTTATTCTTGAATGTCCTCTTCTTGTTACTGTTTTTTTTTATACAAATGGTTCTGCAATTTCGAAAAGGCTGTTACCAAGGTTGTAGTAGTGTTCTTGAATTTCAAGAGAGTGGATAATTCATGTTTCCTTGGAGATTTTTTTAACTCTAATTTTTTGGTAACTGTATGCTTTTACCTGTTGGTCTGTGTGAGGTTTGGGTTCTTGTTCATGAAACAAGTGTGACTGATTAAAGACCTAAACCATTTAAAGCAGAGCTCTTCTGGATTTGAATCACTCCAACATTTTTTATAGGTAGTATTTCACCATTAAGATGAGGTGAAAAAATGTATTTGGGGGCAAAGCCTGACTTTGCCTCAGGGTTGAGAACACCCTGACATCCAAAATTGTTAAATTTTTCTGTACCTTGTGGTTTTAATTAGTAGTCCACTTGGTTGTTAATGCCTAGTAAGTTTATTCTTGAGAATATACAGTATTGAGGGCTATACAGGATGGGCCAAAAAATTGTACCCAATTTCAAGATGAAATTACAGGATAACCATAAAAGATAGGATCAAGTAATAAAATGCATTAAGCAGGCAAAGGTCAACATTTGTTTAATACTAAATAATTATTTTTTTTGGTAGCAGGTTCAAAATGCCTCAATTAAATTTACAACAAATAATCTTTATCCTTGAGGTGCATATCAAAAGTCAATAAGTAATAGCAACACAGTATGCATTCAGAAAGAAATTTCCAGGATGTGTGGTGCCAACAGCTGAGACAGCATGATGAATTCTGACCAGATGGAAGGGAAAAAGGTCAGAATATGTTGTATTGTCTTAACCGTTGGCACTTCACATCCTGGAAACTTCTTACTGAATACTGTACATGCTGTGTCACTATTACTTATTGAGTTTTGATATGCGCCTCAAGAATAAAGATTATTTGTTGTAAATTTAATTGAGGCATTTTGAACCTACTACAGAAAAAAAATTATTATTATTATTAAACAAATGTTGACCTTTGCCTGCTTAATGCGTTTTATTATTTGATACTATCTTTCATGGTTATCCTGTAATTTCATTTCGAAATTGGGTACATTTTTATGGCCCACCATGTATAATAACCCATATTTCATTCATTCCTGAATTTATTTAGTGACCTATTTCATGTTATTTAAGATTTCAATTGATTAAACTGCAATGGCATTCAGCTCAAATTAAAATATTTGAGTCTTTTTCCATGGACTAGATATAGAAGATACAGGGAGGCATATAGAAAGTTTCATCATGTCGATTTTGGGATACAATGGAGGAGCAGTGGTAGCTATGACGGGGAAGGACTGCGTGGCCATAGCGTCAGACCTTAGGTTTGGCGTCCGGCTTCAGACCATCTCCACCAATTTCGAGAAGGTATTCCAGATGGGTCCCCATTTATTTTTGGGCCTCCCAGGCCTGGCCACCGACACACAGACCGTCCACCAACGCCTCCGTTTCCGCTTGAACCTCTATGAACTTCGGGAGAACCGCCGGATCCTCCCCAAGACATTTGCGGCCATGGTATCCAACCTTCTCTACGAACGACGATTTGGTCCATACTTCATAGAACCAGTCATTGCCGGTTTGGATCCCGAGTCATATCAGCCCTACATTTGTAACATGGATCTCATCGGCTGTGTGAACGTGAGCAAGGACTTTGTCGTCTGCGGCACGTGTGAGGAGCAGCTGTATGGGATGTGCGAGACGCTCTGGAAGCCAGACATGAAGCCAGATGAGGTATTTGAGGCCATCTCGCAAGCGTTGGTCAATGCTTTCGATCGAGATGCTGTTTCCGGGTGGGGCGCTGTCGTTCATGTTATCGAGAAGGATAAAATCACCACACGCAGGATCAAGACTCGAATGGATTAAATGCACATGCGTACCACATATGTGAAATGGAATGTATTTCATGGAAGTGAAATAAATTGGTTCTTACAAGTAATATCCCTGCATGTTCTTCTGCCATAGGCACAAGACAGCTGAAAGTTTTACTCCTCACCCACAGATTAAATTCAAATATTCACACGCTCTTGAACGAAGAGGAATTTAATAGGGAGATTGGTTCATATGCATGAGTGTACAGTACTTGAGGGAGGTGGGTAAACAGGGGTCCCGAAATAGTTGACTAGCAGGTTCTTTGCTACCTTCACCTCTGCTCCGGCTTCACATCTCCCCCCGATTTGCTTTCGACCACGTTTACCGTTCTGCATATGGACCTGTACAGGTGTTGGATGTGACATCCAGAATAATATATTTGAAAGGCCAAATGTATTTTACCAATATTTACAAATGACGAATCCATATCTATACTATAATTCCGAGTGTTTGTCAATCACGGCCATGCCTCTGATCCCTGTCCGACCAAACTTTGACAAATATGGGACCTATACAATATTCACCCGTGCAACGCCGGGTACCTCTGCTAGTCCGCTGTAAAGGCTAAAATATTTCGCCTTGGGCAGCGACTAAAAATTATATTAGCCAAAGTCCTGCATGCTCTCTTTTGCTAAAGGAGTATCAGTGTGCGAAAAAAAGTATCGGACGTGAGATTTCGTGAAACTGAAGGTTGAGGTCACTCGCTCTAATGATCACATTTCTGTAAAGTCTGAGAACATATCAATTTTGTATTCTGTTCATTGTATAGATGAAGCGAAAGCCTGGGATCAGTGTAAGTCATCCTATGATCACAGTACTGAGAAAATAAATCAAGGCTATTTTGCGACCGTGTGGTATGGTGCATGTTCTGAAAACCGATTTGAAAACGCAAAAGTCTGGATTTATCTTTTAAAGTTTAGCTTAGAATACCATTCCAATGTGAACAATTGACATCTCTTCACGCTTAAGCTGATTTGAGATCTCTCAGCACGGGAGATGCTGAGTGATATGCTGGCCAGTTATTCGATTCAGTCTCTCCGGGTTGCATTACCATCATATCAATGAACATCATGGAAGTAGTACTTATAAGCAACTAATTTTTTCAAGAACATTCTCATTCATTCGTGCCTTCAGGGACTAGAGATTATGACTTTTAAAATTATATATAGAATGCAATATTCGCAAATTTAGTGAAATTTTATGCTGAGGGCCTCGGGGCCACTTCGCGTGGACAGACCCATATACAGGGTGGGTAATAAAAAAATCATGACGCTTCAATCAATTATTCACAGGAGGAGAAAGCTAGAACTCGTTGATGCACCATGAATTTGAAGACACTAGCTCTTTGTCAATGTCGGTGAGAAAACCTGCAATACAACTTTCACCATTTCGAATAACAGCCTGTCGCACTTGTAGGTGATCTTTGCTTTTGTGTCTCAGAGATTCTGAAAGTGGGTGTTTCCTTTTTCTGGGGTATTTCACAAGACGCGCAATCGCAAGGCGCGATACACGAGAACGGCCTATTTTGACGTATCTGACCAAACTTTAATACGTAACGAAAGGGAACAAGAAAAAAAGACCAGATATTCTACCGCAGCTGAACCTGAGAGGGGAGAAAGGAAAGAGAAAAGGAAGCTCATAAAACACGCGTGCGAACAAGAGGCCAGAGGGGGAGATGGAAAATATGGGCTTGATATATTTTTCTTGCGGGCAGGGATTTTCCACGGAAATAAAAAGCAGACAAGGAAAATATTTTCTATTTCGACGATTCAAATATGCTTATCAACATATTCCTTTTCTTCTTGTAGGAGGTGTCCTGCAGGGACTGGCCTTCATACAAGTCTCATTCATATTCACTCTCAACTTTACTATGAATTTAAAAAATGTTGGACGTTGCGCTGAAAAGCATATCTCTAACAGAAAATTTAACTAAATTTCCCCTTCGAATATATATTATGTCCCTGTTCCCAAGATCATTATTGATTTGCTACGCAGCAAGATCGAATATATTTTATAATTTCACTTCACCCCGCAGTAGAATTTACTTCTATACCGGTATTCCCAAAATTAGTGCACGTAATCCTCCGAAGCTGCTTTGCAAAAAGTGCATTTATCGTCTTCTACCAGTTTCATTCTTTTCAAGATTGCCTTGACAAGCAGAATTTTTAACAGATATACAGCGGGCAAGACCTTCCTGGGAAGAGTGAAAAATTAACCTTGGTGAATAACCTTTTCCCATTCTTTTAAAATCCAAAGGAAAACCAATGAGCATAAATTATTCCCAAGCACCCCCAAGACCCAACCCAAGATACATACGAGAAGTGACATCTGTCCATCAAAGAATAACGGAGTTACAGAACCAGTATTTTCCCCCCCCCCCCCCCCCCCCCCCCCCCCCCCCCCGGATCTCTCCCACCTTTCTTCTTTCAACCTAAGCATATCATCCATTTTCTTGCTTTTCAACATAAAGGTGTATTGAAATTTCGAGGGCTTATCCGCAATTAAAAATGTTCCATAACAGCTCACAATCGGCCTTTTGAGATTCCGCAGTAATCCAGATGCACTCTTGCCAGGTTCCTTAGATATCGTATGTTCTCTTCAACCCTTTCGTGGGAACTATACTTCCCAGAAAACGTTCGACCTTCCCCGTGCTCTGGGAAGGCTGCACGCAATAAAAAATTAGCCCACGAAAGTATGCGAGAGTCTCCTCTAGACTACGGTAGGGTTACCATACGGCCGGTTTTTCTCAGTTACGTGGTGTGATCAATAAGTTCCCGGACTGGTTCTGTAACTCCGTTATTCTTTGATGGACAGATGTCACTTCTCGTATGTATCTTGGGTTGGGTCTTGGGGGTGCTTGGGAATAATTTATGCTCATTGGTTTTCCTTTGGATTTTAAAAGAATTCTGTTTCAATGGACACTTTGAATTACTCGGCGAAAAGCAGCAAGGAACATGATGAATATAAATTAGAAATTCAGAACGCCATGCAATTTTTGTGAAATCAAAGGAAATAAACTTGTGGTAAGTTACGTGCTGCTGCGTTTGGAGCAGACGCTTCTGGCTGCTGGAGGATATTCGACAGGCACATAATAATTTTAAATCGTTTGTGTCTGTTTGTGACAGGTCACGTGGACGACCTAAGTCGACCGTCAAAAAAAGTTGGGAAGAGGACCAAAAGTGGAAGAAATTCTTCACAGAGTTCAGAAATTGACAATTCGTGAGCTCTCCAAGAGCTTGAATTTTTCTCATGTAGACATTCATGGAGGTGCATCGATGTTCCACTCTTGTGTGGTTGTCGATGATCGCTCATCCTTGGGTCACCATGTTAAAGGTCTTCTTTTCTCCGAATCCTTTGTATCTGGGGAATACTTTCAAGTTTCTTGAGGTGTGACACATTCGCCTTCTTCCACGCATTATTTGACGGCCCTTCAAATTTTTTAGTACTAAAAAAAATTCCTCACGTATATTCGCCGACTAGTTCAAAGTGTCCATTGGAAAATAATTCTTTAAAAATCCAAAGGAAAACCAATGAGAAAGAAATTTCGCCTATGCACCTACAAAACCAAAACCAAGATACATACGAGAAGTGACATCTGTCCATCAAAGAATAACAGAGTTACAGAACCAGCCCGGGAACTTATTGATCACACCACGCATGTCCTTTTTCTTCGCTTTCCGTCCGGGAGGAAGGCGTCCTATGGGTTACCACACGTCCGGATATTTTCCATGAACATGCCCTCCTTTTCCGGCTTCAAATTTCTGTCCGACTGCTAGGTATCCTCATTTTGGCTGTCAGAAATATGGGTAACCATTTTCGATGGTTGGAGGTATCGATTGTTTTTTCGACCATCGCGATGTAGCGGCAAAATTTTTGAAAGGAAAAGTGTCGTTGGATTGGGACGAGTGCAGTACAATACAGTCCGTCCAGGCGGAAAAAGAAAAAGACATGACAAATTCCATGACAAATCAACCAAAAATTTCGCAAATTAACACCCGACCATCTCAGATTTTGATGAAATTTTATATGCAAGGTTATTATGTACGAAAACTCAGAAATATATCATTTTAGCCCCATCGGGTCAATAGGTCAGATGCTACAGGGTGGTCAAAATGTAGGGTCACCTTCTAACCTCCGATTTTGATATCCCTGCAACTCAAGAACTATTCGTACTAGAGCCTTGAATAAGGTGTCGATTCACTGGAAATTGCCTGGAAAATTCAAAATTTGTATTTAAATATCATTTGAATAAGAAACAATGCTATTTATGGACGAAAATTTTGACCTTTGAACTAAGCATGAACCCCCAAAATTAAAAATCGCAAAAAAATTCAATGAAAAGGTCAATGACTCTGCTACTGATGCAAAAAAATTTCAGAGAGGTAATACTTTTGTATTCTGTAAATAATATTTTGAATCAGAAGATCTCTACCACGAGTGAGGCATTCCAACTCAAGTAATCGAAATCGTGGTTGCGTGTGTGACGTATTTCGTTACAAAAATTCATGCATGATGAGCTCTCTGAGATATGAAGGCATTCCAAATTTCAGCGCTCTAGCTCAAACGGTTTAGAAGATACAGATGCCCCAAAGTTCGCCTCCAAGAGGAAAAGTCATCCCAAAACGTTAGGCGGCTATCTTTGGCCTTAGTTGAGACAGGAAAAAGAAGTTGACCTCAAATGAAAGCTAAGACAACAGTATGTTTGAACAGATTTTGTAGGTTTTCGCTCTCCGTACTTGACCTTGTTCATTAATAAACATTATATGGATTTTCTTCATTTTCATGAAGTGGGAATCAGGATGACGCAATGAGCTCCTGTCACGTTAAAATTGAACATAGCATGAACCCCTACAAACTAAAACCCACCCCCCCCCCAAAAAAAAAAAACCAATGAAAGTATCAATGATTCTGCTACTGATATACAAAATTACATATGAGTACTAATTTTTATATTCCGTCAATAATTTTTTTAATCAGAATACCCCTCCAACCTATGACTGAAATAATCGAAATCATGGTTGAGTCTGTGACTGGGATTTTGTTGCAAAACTTCACACATAATGAATTCTGTTACTTTGAATGTGTTTTTTTTTTCGGGAAATGTTTGTTTCAAAACTTGCCATTTAATCTAATTTATCAAAAATTACCGAAATTACTGAAATTTACCAAACTTCCGAAACATGAGAATCCAAGTGACAGCCAGGCATATTCCAACAGAGACCAGTGAACAGCCGTAGTTCATTTATCCCACATTGTTTCAAGCTAGAGAGAAATAAAGCCTGAAATTTCTTAAGATTACAGAAATTCCTTTTACTTTCCTATTTTTTAATAGAAGGTAAAATCTCTGAGTTATACCAATACTCCATGAAGTTAAAAGTAAAATTTTCTCACCAGGTTCAGCACTTATACTTGCATGTATTCATATGTAGACATACATGTAGATATCAAGAGAGACTCCAGAAACTAAAACCTTGCAATAGGAACGCAGCCACCCAACTCCGGAATTCCATCGTGTTAAAGATTCGAGTTACTGGGAGATAAGAGTATCAATTCACGTCACCTGACGAGTGCAAAGCAATATCGTCAGGTGTATTCGACTAATAGTGCAAATTCGTTCGGAAGGCGACGGTCCGATAATATTCTATAGTTTAGGATTCAGTACAATGCAGTTTTCAAATCATTTTCTATAGAATTTTACATTTTACAATAGGCTGAACCTGGGAAATTGATTGGTCCACTTTTCTCAAGGGACAAGTTCAACTGTCGAACTATTTTCTACCTCAATTAGGACCTAAGGTAGCCGTTTGACTATTGGGGTGACTTTTCCCACCGAGAGCAACCTTTGGGGTTAAATATCTTCTACACCGTTTGGGCTAGAGCTCTCATATTTGGTATGCCATCATATCTCGGAGAGGTCATAATGCATGAAGTACAACGAAATCCCAGTCGCACACGCAACCGCGATTTCGATTACTTGAGTCATAATGCCTCATATATTGGAGGGATATTCTGATTAAAAAATTGACAGAATATAAAAATTGTTACTCATATGTAATTTTGTATATCAGTAGCAGAATCATTAATACTTTCATTGTTTTTTTTTGTTTTTTTTTTGGGGGGGGGGTGGCTTTTAGTTTGTAGGGGTTCATGCTATTTCCAATTTTAACGTGACAGGAGCTCATTGCGTCATCCTACTTCATGAAAATGAAGAAAATCCATGTCATATTTATCAATGAACAAGGTCAAGTACGGAGAGCGAAAACCTACAAAATCTGTTCAAACATACTGTAGTCTTAGCTTTCATTCGAGGCCAACTTCTTTTTCCTGTCTCAACTAGGGCCAAAGATAGCCATCTAACCTTTTGGGATTACTTTTCCTCTTGGGGGCGAACTTTGGGGCATCAGTATTTTCTAAACCGTTTGGACTAGAGCGCTGAAATTTGGAATGCCTTCATTTCTCAGAGTTCATCATGCATTAATTTTGTAACAAAATCCCAGTTGCACACGCAACCACGATTTCGATTACTTGAGTTGGAATGCCTCGCTCATAGTAGAGATTCAAAATATTATTGACGGAATACAAAAACCTCTCTTAAATTTTTTGCATCAGTAGCAGTCATTGACCTTTTCATTGAATTTTTTTTTAGGCTTTTAATTTTAGGGGTTCATGCTTACCCAAGTAGCAATTTTGATCCAAAATAAATCTGTTGGAAGTACCCTCATGGACACTTGGACATCCAATGTCCAAGTGTCCATGAGGGTACTTCCAACAGATTCCAAAAAAAAAAGCTATCATTTTTGGTAAATTGTTAATCTGATTGTATGTGACCGATTTTTATGGCATTTGGTATACACATAGGGTGACTCAATTAGGATTAGTGTGCCAATTTCACATTTGCCTTTCAGCCCTTCATTTGTATGCCAATACAAATGAAGGGCTGAAAGGCAAAGTGGTCTATCTGCAAAAAAATTCGAAAAAAGTGTTGCTGGTTTTGTGCTCATAGGACCTTGTTCCTTTCATAGAAAATTGTAGGTTTTTTTTGGAATTAAGTAAAGGTTGAAGTGATCTATCGATACATACCACTTTTTCTCTTTTTTAATATGATGGTCACTGGAATATTCTCTCTTTCCGTGTGGAGCTTCAGGAAATAATTTTTTCCGACAGGCCACTTTGCCTTTCAGCCCTTCAAATCTGGGAAATCATTTTAAGCTGCAAGAAGTCCATGAAAATACGGTAGCAGTGCTTGTGAAAGACGCCGGTCTTCGCACCAGTTAAAGTGCTAGGAAGCCGAAAAAAGAGGGGAGTTCGACAGATTGGAAGAGATGTTTTCAATTTAATGATAGAAAAACTGGAAAAACTAGGAAGAAGTATCTACTATCTTTGAAGTTGTGGCGGACCAAGGAAAAATTGAGAAAGACATGGCAGAGATTAAGGGTGAGATGCACCGAATCTGTTTAAGATAAACTAATTTGATCTCACAATGGTTCCCCACAGGAATCAGTTTAACCGAGATTAACTTATTCCAATAAACGCCCATTATGAAAACGAATCCGTTTAAAGTGAAAAGGATCTGGTGCATGTCACCCTAAAAGGGATATTGCTAGTGTTCAACAGGAACTATCAGAAGTAAAAAAAAAAAGGTGGATTCCCTCAAAGAGTAAAAAAAATGGTTTCAACTTTATGGAAGAATTTAGTAATTCTAGTGGTCTCAAAATCATAAACGATAAAATTAAAGTTGCATGGATGTAGGAAAGGTTGGTTGCAGAACCAAATTATACCCATACGAGCAATTGAACTGGGTGGATGGTGAATTTACATATTTAGGAGTCTGGTTTCATTCAGATATGGAGTGTATCCCCCAAATTAATTTGTTGAACAAAATAGGACCTCCCATTTCCCATGCATACATCAGGATCATCAGTCCACCCACCAAATTTTTTCACTTCTATCTGTCCTTCCAGCTTGCCCAGACAATTCAATCAGGAGTCTTGTGTTCATACTTGAGTCACTCTTCCCCCTTCTTGCCTGAGTTGTTGGGACATTACGGTATCTCTCTACGGTACAATATCTGATGGATGTTAAGACCAGCATTCAGCATTGCAGTTAACCAACCTCTAACCCTCAAACAAGTGGGTGAAATTGGCTTTGGAGACAGTTTTGGTCTAGCTTCACAGTTAAGCCCACAACAAAGACACTTCAACAAAGAAGCATTATAAAAAAGAAAATGTAATGGGCATTGGGCTAGTCAATCCTTCTCCTTCATATCTTGGGTGTTTTCCCAGTTTTCTCTATATCACCCCATCCAACGACCTTGAAATTTTGCCTGAGATTCCTGCACACCATTAGGGACTTCATTTCCAAATTTTTTATAAAAGCTCCTATGGAGCAATTGTTTAGGGCATTAGGACAACCCATCCCTTTTGCATTAATGTGTTTGCCAAGTTATCTCTTTGAAGGTTTATCCTATACCCTTAACTTTGTGGGCTTAATTCCATCAAAAACACTTTACTTTTTCTTTGATTTTGATTTTTCTTTATATTTAGAAATAAGTTAAGTTCATACCATTAGTCATTGTGCATAAAGTGCAACATTGAGTACAAGATGATAGGAAAAGACAACTTGATTTCTCATGATGTTTGACAAAGGATGTAGACGTAGATCAATTCATTTATTATTTAGAAAAATTTCTGCAGTAAAAAGTCAGAGGGCACTGAAGGTAGTGATAATGAATTACATTCTCCTTTTTATGAGGTGTAACATTTGAAAATGATGTGAAACCAAGGATATGTCCACTTATTGGCACAACTTTTGTTGCTAAAAAGTTTTTGTGCAGAAATTTAGAAGGTATTGAAGTAGAAATTATGGTGTAAATGACCAACTTGGTTTTTTTTTAATGGAGCATAACTATTCTCCATAAATATAACTGAATTATTAACTCAGCAAAGCCTCTTTCTTTGGAGTCCTTAGTATTCACATGCCAAAGCTTTTTACAGCCTTGTTCATGTATTAAATTCATAGAATGTGAGGGGTAGTTGAGGCTGTGGCCCCAGGGCAGAAAACCTTTAGGTCACAATTTAAGAATATTCAGATGTTTAACAACTCCCCAAAGGCAACCTACAAGTCAGCTTTTATCAAAGTCCAAGACATCAACTTTCTCCACCAGTCCCCTTTTTTAATCCACACACTCAATTGCCTACTGCTGATGTATCAAAATAAATAAAAATCAAATCTTCAGAGAAAGAAACTGTATTTTATGGGAAGTTCAACCATACTTCATATACATTATGCCACCTTTTCTTCATAGAATAAATAAATCCTTAAAATATTCCTGGAAGCTAAAAATGCAAGTAATATTACTCCAGCTGGTACTTTTGGTTGAGGGCTCCTCATTCCAATTCCCTTGGATGCACCAAGAAGATGTCTTCTATGATGTCTCCAAACTTGTGGAGACTCACGATAAAAACAAAAAGTTGATACACTTCCTTGGGGCTATTTGATCCAAAAACACTGGGGCACCTCTATCACGGATTCAATGAAATCAGTGAAACTGGAATGTCTATCACAAGATCATCACCAGGGATGAAAGAAAGCAAGGGTTAGCAGTTTTTGATATATGAAGGAAGTTGGATATCCCGCTGTCGAGTCATGGACGCATACATGAAAAATGCCGATGAAATGAGTACTAACAGAGATTGAAGTGTGCCACGGATGCTCCACAACTTATAGACAAATATAATAATCAAGAAGGCACACACAGCACTCAGCCACTTGCGGTGCTTCAGGTAGTACAGGAGCAGATAGGCCTGTGTAACAAAATCAAAATTAAATAACCTAAAATGGTTGAGATAAATATTTCAGAGATGAATGATGAATCTTACTTGACAGATTTCAAGTGCAGCCTCCAAAAGTAACAGAGGACCAAAGCCAAAGCCACCTCCTCCCTCCTAAAAGGGAACAAAAAATGTTTATAGTCATGGCCTGATGGGGGATGGCACTGGTAAGGAGACTGATTTTCACTCACATCTATACCTGGTCCATGCAATGCTGAAAGGCCTCGATAAGCATTGAGGAATGCACAAAGGAAACACATAATGACAGAAGCCTTCCCATTTCTCTTCAAAGGCTCCAATTGTGGCCCTTTTCTCACTAGAGCATAAAGAAAATGCATTTAGCATTTCTAGGGATGGATCTGAATCTTAAATTGTAAGTTTGTGCTTCTAACACTCACCAACAGTTGGATATGGTTGGCCAGGAAGTTGCCTGAAAACATTGCCATTGGCATGTCCTATGATACCATTAGAAGATGGGTCCAAGTCAGTGATTCGGAGGACTTGAGGAGGCCTCAATTGGATTTCAGCATTCAATGCCTCAACATTGATTTTCCCACCCAGGGTAGATGAGTTGTAGCGTTGCCGAAGACGCAAAATCGTCTCATCTGCACAGCCATAATAATTCATATAAATACTGCATTTTTAATTCAGCTAGTAGGAGAATCTGACCCTCTTGATTTATACATGCAGTTGACTGATGTCACATCATGGACTAATGAAGAGGTGATACTTTGCAAGCCTTGTATATGACCCAGAGCTTCACAGCAATAAAAGAAAGAAAGATTAGGCCTAGGACAGGAAACTCCTTTTTTTTTTTCCCTTTCTCATTAGCAGCTATTAACAATCCCCATGATGAGCTGCAGAGCCCTATTTTCCTTCTTCCAAATAACAGGTGAGGTCTGCTTGCCCAACAAGTTCAAACCTGGCAGAGCAGGTGAGATGCAAAAGAGGGAGGTGATGACTCCCATAAGGATGCTTCTTCATTTCAATGAAGGAATCATGCCCAGATTTTCTTATTATTATACACAAACTACACTTGGACAACCAATAATGCAACTTAATTTAAATTGTTTTATTTAACGCCAGCTCAAGTGAATTGGATAATCTATCGAATTTTCCACATGCTATCATTATAGTAAAAGGGCAAACTCACCAAACTCAATGAATGCATATGGCCTCTGGGCAGTGGAGACTCGGTACTTGTCATATCGCTGAATGAACTCCTTGAGAAGTTCATTGAGGAAACTAAATGCCAAGGCACATGGATAGTTGGATTCACTCAGTGACATGCAGGCTACACCTACACTTGGAGCATTCACCAACCTGAAAATATGGTCAGACCGACTCTTCATATAATTAAGATTTAAAAAATGCGGTCTGGTCGAATATTATGTGGTTAAGACTTAATTACACGAAGGAAAGGAGAAAAGGCAAACAGACTTACGAGACGGTGTGAAAAGACAGGCGAAGCATGCAGCGATCAGAGAAATTCGTCAACTTCTTGGCCAAGAGCTTCATATACCTCTTGGAGTCAAGGAATTCCCTAGAATTTAGTCCATTTATAGCCGTGGCATCACACAGAGGCATGCCGTCGCTCACCCGAACCAGCATTGCGTAAACTATCATCTTCGCACTTCTTTCTGCAATCTTGTCACTGAATCGTAATGAAATAGGTGAATTCACCAAGAACTGTTCAAGGGCAATCGCCAATTGCTGGTCATGCAAGCTGCCATCATTATACCTCCACGTCTGTTGCAGTGTTGTGATATTGCGCTTTGGTGCGGCTGCTGCAGCAAAAAAAAAAAAAACACAGGAATTCTGAGCACGACGTGACAACGTTCCCTTCGCGTATAATTTAACATCCATAAGGGCAGTATCATGTAGAAGATCGTGATTTACTTGATGCAACATCTATAACATTAAAGTTAGCATTATAAGACGGAGGGTTATGCAGGTGTTGTGATTAAGCTTAACATCGTCAGTAGTGCATCAGCGTAATGTAGTCAGTAGTCAGTCAACAGTAGTGCAGCATTTGTCTCTTCATACAAGAATATTTTTTAAGTGACTATATATATTTCAGCTCCATTTCATGTGAACATTTTTCATATCGCAATGTTTGCCATGAAATGAGGACTCGACAACATTGCAGTGAAAGGCAGCACATCGTTCGCTCCAGCAAGAGTGCTATGTGGGCGCTTGATTCGATTCGTATTGTATACAGGGCTGGCCTTAGGCATGTGCCACATGTGCTCCCGCACAGGGCGTAAAATTCACCAGGGGCGCCAAAACGTGACTGAATATACGATGCAATAATGGATGCCACCCTCAGTTTTACTTCGAAAAAGTAAAAATGCCTTCCGTTTTGGCGTCAATTTGAACGCTAGAGATTGACCCTTCTCCATTCTGGGAGGGGGGGGGGGGGGGGGGGGGGGGGTGAACACTGGCTTAGACGTTAGCGAAGCAGATGGAGGCGCAAAAGGAACACTAAAAGGCACGGAAAAAATAGCCGCCGAGGAACGAGGCGAAGTTCCTTCATTTCCATTAAGGGAGGTGGGGAAAAATATCATACGACACCGGCCCTGATTGCATGTATTCTTCCAATACAGATTATCATTCACTTCACCCCTGAATTCCACTGGCAAAAATCTGAAGCCGTTCCAGAGTTTTAAGATGACCGGGAATTCCGGGCGATCAAAGGCGATTATGACACAGGTTTCTGCTAGGGAAAACGTTTTGACAATGTCCTGAAAGCATCAAATGTCTACATTGACTGAGCTTAACTATGGTGTACGTGCTTAGTGTAAACGAAATCCATGCCTTAGCATTGCTTTTGAACCGCATGATGTGTGGTGTGTTAGCGTTAAAAAAAAAGGGAGGGGATATAGAGATTTGTAACGTTTACATATCTACATACCCACACCAAAAAAATGTATATAGTGGCGTAGCCAGGATTTCGCCAATGAGGGGGGCTTACTTCTCGCCCCCGGGGGCGGATGCATTTAGACCGGAGTTGGCCCCCCCCCCCCCCCAACTCCGGTCTAAATGCATCTTGAACCAAACTTGGGGGGACCTCAGCCCCCCCTCGCTACGCCACTGATCTTCAGAGGGGTTAGTCCAGCGGTTCTCAAACTTTTTACGCTGCGCCCCTCCTAGTGACCCTCGTTCGGTGTCGCGCCCCCCCTAACGACCTTAGTTCGCCGCCATGCCCCCTTTCTTTCTGACAGGAGTTCCTAGAAATTAAAATTACCCCACGGATGCCATTTTTCATGCGATGATTGAAAAAATAGGAAAAGAATTGCAATTTTCAGGGACCGGGTCACAGCTCGAAAACGGATAATCACTCGCGTCATTTAATGAGAACGACGCTCACATGCTTCTGGATCCTCAAATGAACGAATCTGGACTGGACGGTAAAAATTAAAGCACAAATCTCATTTTCAAAGACCTGACAAAGAAATGTATTCGGAAATTTTGCTCTGTTAGGGGAACCCAGCTCTTTTGCGTCATTAGCTTTGTTTGGACTACAACCTTTCCTGGGAAATGGCTTTCCTGGGATTCAGGTCGTTAATTATCGAGATGTCATGCTTCCCAGGATAACCTGGCTCAACTGTCTCGACACTAATCCCAGAGTAGATAGGTTATCCGGGGTGGTGAATCTCGCTGGTCCGACTGAGTGACATTTCCTGGGAGTCCATTCATTCATGGAGATGTATTTAATGACCGGGAGTCCTGGTTACACCTTAGTGCACTCTCAGTTAAGAAGACCAGCAAGATGGTGGAAGATTAATTCGGTAGAAAGCCATAACCCCCATATGCCTTGCAAAATCTCCATGAGCTATAGAATGGGTGGTTTCCCCCGACCGCCTATTCATGTTCTTCATTTTCTTTAGGTATTTCTTCCGCGACTCGAGTTTATTTTGAATTTCAGTAAGGGTCTTTTTAATCCCACTTTTCTAAAGTTCTTTGGCAAGGAGAACGTACGCTTTCCTATTCCGTTGCGTGCTATCAAGCATGCTTTGAATATTCAGATCGTGAAATAGAAGCAGTAGAGATTGCACATCTTCCTCACTCTAAACAATACGAACACTCACGGTAAAAATAAAATAAAATAAGAGGACGCCAGCAGAAGGAAGAGTTCGGCACGCCTATCAAATGATGCTCATCCCACTAATGCGTTTCGACTGAGATCTGAACCTGAGACAGTCCCAGAGCGACCCTGGGATTGACCGGTTTGCCTGGCGGCGTTTCTCATAGCGGGAGGGGGGTGAAAGTAGGTGTTTCGACTAATCCCAGAAGCTGACTATCCCAGGGCGGTCCCAGGATAACGTCTCAGTCGAAACAAGGCTTTTGAGTTTCTTCAAGTATTTATTTAGACAGATCGAGTGCACGGACGCTACATCCATCGAGCACTCAAGTTACAGCCAAAAGAGACACACGATTCATTTGTCATCTTCTTTCGAATCGTCGGAAAACACCGACGGAAATGTACAGCGCTTTAAATAAAAGTAATTGAGTTTTAAAGAGTGCCTTTGATTGCTTTCATTTAGTCTTGTACTCCAGGAGAAAGAGCCAGATAGACCTGAAGGAATGTGACCTTTTTCCAGTAAAAATAATAGATAGACGAATAAAAATATTCTATAGTTTTTTAAATTGGTGATTGTAGTGGATAAAAAAAAAAACATGACCTCTCGCGCCCCCCCCCTTGCGACCCTCTCGTGCCCCCC